ACATGTATTATTTTATTGATTCCACATCCCTTGAGCTTGCTAGTTTTGTAATCCTCATTCAACATGAAAATTCTGAGGCTGTAAAGTTCACACAGTTATACCAAGTGCACAATTGCTGACAGACACATTCTGTGCACAGACCTAGGCACTGCTACACGAACCACCCTTTTAAGCACTGCATCACAATTTGAAATCAACTATGAAAATTCAAACAGTAAAGTATAAATCTCACCGTGTGTCAGTTCCTTGAAATTACTAGTGATGGCCTCTGCCATTCTCAGGAGAAATCTTCACTTGTGCTCTCCAAACTGTGATGTCTATACCCAATATTTTCTCAACCCCCGAGACAGAGAAGAAGAGCCTCTCTGACAGTCAACCATCCCCACTGCTCTTCCAGAGCAGTCTAAGAAACAAAGAAACAAAAAGGAGCAAAAGTTTCTCTTGGATTTCCATCTGGACTTTAAAGAGGCTTCCATCATAGGTCATTCACCTGTAGAATTACTGTTTGGTTCCCCCAAGGGAGAAATTATTCATCAGCATATGTGCCAAGACATAACTTTGTGTGTGTTTTTTTTCAATTGCTCGAGAATTATGTCCCAAGCAATTAGAGGTTTTGTTTGTTTCTCTGTTTTCTTGTCTTCATGCCCTTGTGTTTCTATCTGTACAAGCTTTTATTTCCCATGATACTCAGGAATAGAGAAGTGGGTATTTGGGAACAGAACATACTGTCTCTTGCAGGAGTCAGACCAAATGCTTGTGCATAGGAAATGTAAAAACAGAGTTCTGTGATAAACCATCATCCACCTGTCCATATGGAAAATGTACTACAGCAAGGAGTACTTATTAAAGAAAAATATTTCATATAAAATATGTGTAGAGGATGCATTACTTGAAATGTTACATTTCTCTCAGAAACTGAACTTATAAAACAATAATTTTAAAAACAAAAACAAATTTAAAGAGGAGATTGGAGGAAATTTCCTCTTTTCATTTATTTGAAAGATATTATACCAGACCTAATTAATGTCAAAGAACATAGGATTTAAAATGATGTTTAGGGAAAACTTGGACATAGCTTCTTAAGCACCCTCACAAGGACCCTCATAAACAATTTTCTATATTTTCAGTATCTAAATTCTGTATCATGTCTAATTTTATGTCTATTCACCCTCCATAAAAAGGGCTAATTTTATGGATTCATAAGAAAGGGTGAGACACTAAAGGACTGTCATATCCACAGTCTATGGACTTAATCACTGAATTCAGAAATGTGATATTTGTTGAATGTCCACAGTCCCACAGCCACATACTGTAATCAGTAGGAAGAGAGAGTGGCCAGGCAATTTAAACCTTGCAAACATCAATCCAGATAATCAAATTCTCAACTAGATTCTTAAACACATATGTGTAACCAGATTGTGAAGTGTGTTATCTCAGTGATCAGCATTGAAATTCTGAAGACACACTGCCTCCTGTCAAACCACACCCCACTGCTCACCAGGGATCTGACATTCATCCAGTCCCTTGGTCTTCCCCTGTAGAACATAAACGATTCTAAAACCTATCTTATCAGCACTGGCTTCCCAAGAGGTAAATTCCATTATTCAAAATACTGATTCCAACTGTTCATTTACCTATAATGCAGATGCCTGCATAACTGCTTTAAAACACAGAGTTCCTTTGCTGAGTGACATATGTTGATACCATAGATCATTCTAGACTTTTTCACATAGATGAGAAGGTATGAATGACAGATCAAAAAAACTTTAGTAAATATAAATAAACAAAATGAGTTTAAAGTGCATGGCATCTTGAATATTGATGTTAATAAAAATAACAATAAAATAGATCTTAGGTTGTGAAAAGGCTCATAACTAGAGATATGAAAAACCAGAGGAGTGAGGACATTTGGGATAAGAAAAATAAATGGAAATAAGAAAGAAAGCACTTTTGGGGACAAAGAGATCAATGTGAAATTTCCAGTTAGCCAGATTCCAATGTCATAGTCAAACGAAAAATCAATAACAAAACCTGAAAACCAGTTATTCAGATAAACCATGAATGTATGGTTATGAAATATGGATAATTTATTTATTAAGTAAGTATAAAATTTGGAGGCATAAAAATATGATAGAGCTTTTCAATTAAGCCACACCAAAGAATAAATGTCACTCAAAAAATTTTAATTGAATTTTATCTCTCTCTCTTTTTTTAAACCTAAGTTACACACAATTGGACTTGTAAATCATCCATAATGAAGATCCTACCCCTTTTCAGATGCCAGACACCCATTGAAGATATCCATCTTTCTATTCCCTGCATTTAGTAACTCAGGGCAAAATATACAACCTGACTCATGGTGGTCCCCATATAACAAAGACTAGAATGAGGACTTCCCAAGTACCATCTATAGGTGGTTGTGGACTTGCCAATTTGTTTCTTCTGGAAGGCTCAGAAGACTTACTACTTACTGTTATCTGTGGGTACAAAAGTACTATACATATTTCCTCAGCTTTAAGAGGATCATTTTATATTATCAGACATTGGAAACAAGTTTTATACAGTATTTGTTACTCATATATTCTATAAAAATGTGGTATACAGTTTAATAGCAGACAAAAATCTTTCTCCCTTTGGGTGAGTTATTCTTGGTTTTCATTGTGAAAATCATTGGAGCTTGCAGACCAAAAATTCAGGCTGAGATGACATGAATCCCAATGTGACAATGGCCAACCCTACAATCCTTCAGGTCAATCCTCACAGGCTTTTATTGAGATGCTTATTTTATTTCTGTAGAGAAGGAGAAAATTCAGGTAGTACAAATTCTCATCACTCTTCCAACTACTCCCAGCTTTTTACTTCCTTTCTATCACTTGGGCAGTTAATATATGATTCCTAAACATAATGAAATAATTACTTGAGATTTCAGATGCACTGTTTGAGATGCTCACCATGACTTTTAAAGCTGCCTGTACCACTATCTCCCTTTGCACTTGTCCTCCTGGGCTTGAGCTCATCCATGTTTCAGGCTAATAACTGCTGTCCCTCCTGAATACATTCCCTGATTGCTCCTTGTCTCACCACCATCAACCCTTCCTCTGCTCTCACCTCCACTCTCCATTTCTACTGTGGACACAGCACCAGTTTAAACATGAGCTCCCCAGAAAAACTGTTCTAGATTGCACCAAGCAGGTAACTTACTTGCTAATGTTGCCAAGTATTAAAATGTGTGCATATTTATTGAATCATATAATATTTAATGTATCATTCTCTCATTTTTACTTCAACATTATTCATTTAAATACTTTACAACATATTAAAACCACTGTGCACAGCTCATGCTAAAGTGAGAAGTAGAGTTTTGTAGCGAGCAATCAGAGATCCAGGAGGAGAACCTGAGTTTTCAAACTCCCTGAAATGACTCTCCTGATACACCTCCCCTCATGCCACACAAAGCCCACATTCTAACCATCCAGGAAGAGCCAATATAAATCCAAGAAGCCACAGACAGATAAGAAAACACTGGCCTTTTCAAGTGTTCTGACTACACTAATGGATGCAATCTTCAGGAAGAATCAAAAAGAATGTCAATTTATACACATATTGAAAAACAATAGTGAGAAAAATATTTAAATGATTAGAGGACAAGGGGAGGAGTCAGAGCAAAAAGGAAAACGGCATTTTTACTAAGAGCCAAAGAAGAAAGATAATCTGAAAGTCGGACAAAGTAATACCCACAGTGCAAAAGTGAGCCACGATCCATGGTAGACAGAGCATAGTTTAGGGGGGAAAACCTAAATAAGACATTGAACAAAGTCAAGAATGTATCTGACTTATGATTTCACAAGATGTCATTTCTGAATAAAGTTTTAAAATTAGGATCTTGTTCTAGGTGTATTTTCTTCTCTCAGATATCCAGAGACATTTTCTAAATTCACACTTTTTACATTAATATAATGTGTTTCTGAGAACTCTTTGAATAACTACAGAAACTATAACAGGTTAAATTATAATTAGCATAACAGTGAAATAGAATAAAAGCTGAAAATATTAGAAAGAGCTTCACCATGCCTAAAGTAATCAGCATAGAAAATTAAATGGAAAAACAAAGCAACATGGTTTGGGGGAGAATTTTGAATTACTGTTGTTCAATAAACTAGTGGAAATGAAAAAATTTGGGTAGATGTCTTTCAGTATTTGTTTACTCCCCTGCTGAATATTGGTGGATTTTCTCGTTGTACATAAAAACAGAATTCACAATGCAATGTTGGGCATTAAAATAATTTTAAAATAAATGTTGAATTTCAGAAAGTATAAAATTGAACTATCTTTAATTTTCATATGGCAGAATTTAGTAGGCAACTCTGAGTGAAATCATGATCTCATATTGAAAATATTACTTTTAAATACCCCACTCAGGATAATGCTTCTTAGAATTATGTAATCTCTTTCCATATAAGGAACATGCCCAAAAATATTTATTTTACTAAATATTATCTTCTTTATATTTACATTCTATTTTTGTACTGAATTATTTATATTTTATTAGAGATCACCAAGCCTCTTCCACAATTTCCTCATGGCATTTTTCACTTCCTTGTTCCGCAGTGTGTAAACCAAAGGATTGAGCAAGGGAGTGAAGACAGTGTAAAACATTTCCACTTCTTTATCAAAAGAGAATATAGATGGAGGTCGTGCATATATAAATATGCAGGGGACAAAGAACAAAACCACAACAATAATGTGAGATCCACAGGTGGACAGAGCTTTCCTCCGCCCCTCAGCACTGTGTTTTCTCAGGGAGAACAAGATGACACCATAAGAGACAAGCAACAAGGAGAAATTGATGATGCAGATAAACCCACTGTTGGTGATCACCAGAAGGCCTAGAATGTGAGTGTCAGTGCAGGCCAGCTTCAATAGTGGGTACAAGTTACACATGAAGTGATCAATGACATTAGGGCCACAAAAGGGCAGCTGGAAAGTAAAGAGAATCTGTATGATGGAATGCAAGAAGCCCCCTGTCCAGGACGCCCCCACCAGAATGCCACAGAGTCTCCAGTTCATGATGGCAGAGTAGTGCAAGGGCTTGCAAATGGCCACATAGCGGTCATAGGCCATGGCTGAGAGGATGATCATCTCTGCCCCACCAAATAAGTGTTCAGCAAAAAGTTGAATCATGCATCCTTCAAATGTGATGGTTTTCCTTTCATGAATGGAGTCCACAACCATCTTTGGTGTAATGGCAGAGGAATAGCACACATCCAGGAAGGACAGGACAGCCAAGAAGAAGTACATGGGGGAGCCCAGCAGTGCAGGGCTACAGAGGATGGTCACTACAATCAGCATGTTGCCTCCAATAGTCGCAATGTAGACCAACAAAAACACAACAAATAATATTTTCTGAATAGTAGAATTCTGTGAAAGCCCCATGAAGACAAATTCAGTTATGAAGCTTTGGTTCTTCATGATTTTACAAAGTGATTAACATAAAACTGATGATGTGGTTCTGCAAGTAGAACAAAAAATTACATTACACTAGTTTTAATAGTAATCATCACACAAACAAGCTTTTATATACTTATGATTTTTTCTTGTATGAGTCACTGAACCTTGCCATGCATAACCACTTAGATACATCCCAAAACCTTTTTTAATTTTTTTTATTTTGAGAAATTCTCACTAAATGACTTAGGGTCTTGCTAAGTTGCTGAGACCAGCTTTGAACTTGCAATCCTTCTGCCTTCACCTTCTGAGCCTCTGGGATTATAGGAGTATAAACACATGCCAGACTACTTATTGCCAGGGTCCAGCCCTGGTGGGGAACCCAGGGGTCCTGAAGGAGGAGTGGTGTCAGCGAAAGAAGAAGAGTCGGGACAACAGGTTGCAAGTTACGAGCAGCCCCCGAAAAAATCTGCTGCCCCTAGAGGGGCCTTTATTTTCATACCTTTTTTGCAGGTGTTTTTTCAGGTATTTAATGGATAGCTTCAAAGGATGAAACTTCTTTGGTTTACATAATTTTCATGAGTTACAATCTTTTCTGACATACATTGATTACCTGAGATGTTAAGTATATTGTTTAAAATATTTTCCTGTAACCTTTGCCAATCACAATAAAGCTTTTACATTTTTACCTCAATCACTAGGTGCTAGGCTATACAACTTGACTACATGTCTCCTGACCTATTGTTCACTTTTAACTTTAAAGCATACCAATAATTATTTCATTAACCTTTAACTTAAAGCATACTTATGATTATTGGTAAGCTTTCTTACTTCTAAACTAAAATCCCAGTAAAACACACTTAAAATAGTGACAGTCTATTTCTTAAAAAGCCTATTACTCTGAAGTGCCTCTAAAATATATCTATGTTAATTTTACATTATTTTATTTTTAATTTCCAAGGTAATTTCCTTTTTTCATATGACCTATTGTACTGCTTTCCTTCAGAATTTCTTTGATCCTTGGTTAAAGTACACCAAGTCTTATGTCTTTGTATTCTGTAACTAAAGGGCAGTCTCTGCACCTCAACCTATTTGTCATTTATATTAACTGTATGTTTTCCATTTTCTTCATAAATTTCTGCATAAGGCAAAGGAGGGTGTGTTGATGAGGGAATGTATTTTTATTAGCCTATTGTCCTCGAGGGGGATACCATAAGCTACATACAGTGGTCCTTGTACTGTTGGCACAGCAATTGCTTTTCTGTAGCTAGGCTCTTGTACATGTTGTGGTTTGGGGGCTGAGTTGGGGGAATCTATTGTAAATTGTTAACCATGGGATAAATATTTCTTGTTTAGGCTTGAGGAATAACACTATTGTTTGTATCCTGAGGGATATTGAAATGCATCTCATGACATGTCTCAATTGTATCTTTAGTCTCATTCTGGGAATTTTCCTGCAATCTCAGTCAATGCATACTTCTATTATTGATTGACATATGCCCTGTTATCCATATCATGAGGATCATAAACAAAACACTTAATATGCCCCATGGTTCCGGTTTCCAGATGGTGCAGCCCTGCCGCAGCATCCCTCACGCTGTGACCCTGTCAGACAATGGGTGCAGGAATGCCTTCACCAACTTATAAGTATTGTATTATTATTATTATGAGTACTGCTTATTGAGTTATTATCACTGAGAATAAAAATGAGAAATTTTTTAATGTAATTACCAGAGGTCAGAAAAATTGAGGTGGGGTGAACTATAGAATACTTTAAAATGTCAGAGTTTTAATAAGGGGGAAAGAAAGCATGCACATATATTAAAGAAGAAGAATAGTTTTTGCTTTTTTTTAAGTGACATTGATAATTTATCAGTGATTTCTACAGCAAAGAGTTGGGAATCATTCTGAAACTATAGAAGGATAGTGATTTATTAATCATGCCTCCCATGGGCATGAAACAGTGGATAGAAGTATGCCAGTTGTTATTAGAACACTCTTATCAGTAAGAAGAAGCACAAAAATAAGTACTTTAAGAGGTACTCAAAAATGATGATGATTCTTGCTATGTTTTTTTAAAAACTCCATAGTGAATTGGCTTTTAAATGAATTAACTCATTATTTTTTTAAAAAAAAAAAAAAGAATTCATGGAAAATTTTCTAGCTCTAAAATATCCATGAAAAATATATAGGCTTTATTGTTTTTGTGATTTGTTAAGTTTACTCCTGAGGGTTATCATGGTCCCTGAGTAAATTCAAGTTAGAGCTCATGACTCATTATCTAGAAGCCAGACTGTGTTGGGTGTTATTATCCCATTCTATAAATTGGAAACTCAAGCTTAAAGATCTTATGTTCAAGTGAACAACAGATGCTTGATATGGGATGTCACACACAGCACCTCTGTCCCCATGCCCAAGTCCTTTCCCCTGGATTAACAGGAAAAGGATGGGAAATTTTCTTTTCTAGCAAGGCTTCACTGCAGGCTGATCTTTCTAGAATTTCTATCCACTTGTGAACCTTGAAGCCTCTAATTCCTTGTTCTTGTTTGAATGAGGCAACTTGATGAAGGAAACCCAAAAAGGGATGAGGAATTGGCCATTCCCCTAGACATGCAAATCAGCAACAGCCACCTAGGTAAGGAAGAGAAGAGGTTAGCTGTCAGCCAAAGTCTAGAAGCTTCATTCTTTCTTTGTCAATACTTACTACAAAATGATCCATCCTCATCAGGTATAACTCATGATAAATGTTTCAAATTGATGAAACTACCTTGTCAGGCAGAGATGTACATTTTTCTCATCTCCCAGTGTTATCATGAGGTCAAATTTGAAAGTGTGGAAATGTTGCTTATGATGAGTGGCCTTTACCAGTTTGTAGTTACTATGTGCTCACATAAAGAAGCCAGCAGCCTTGCCTGCAGAAAGCTCCTCCACAAATCCTCCAGGTAATTACCTGAACTCTTGACATCAGTCCACAGACAAACACAACTTCAAAGAATGATTGAAAATGTCCTCACCTGTATGTATAACTGAAATATATCAGTGAAAGAGCATATGAATTGTGTCCATATAAACTTTTCTACATTTATATGTATATATGTTTATTTCAAAATATATATAATGGGTTTTTAGTAAAAATAAAAACTCAACTGTGTTTATGACTCCCATTTAGAGTAAGCAGAAACTATTTAAAGTTTATACACTGAACTAATATGCATTGTGTAAATTAATACTTATTTGTTTGCTTTCTTTAAAAGCATTTTAATTGTGTTCTCAGGACATTCGTGACCGACATCTGTACTTTCAACTTCATAGCCACTTAAAAAAATATGTAAAACAAACTCTGAATGTACATTAGATCCATTGGAAACCATTATTATAGAATAAAGAATAGCAGTGCATCATCCAGCAGTGGTCATCTTACTCTAGGACCAAAGCAGGAAAGACAGAGAAAGAAAATGAGTAAGAAAATCTGTGCCAGATTGTGTAACCATGGGTTCAAATCCACATCCTTCTATTTGTTCTATGGCACAGATCAGGCTACTTAGAATCCCTAAAATTATTTAAGGCTCTGTTTGTACTTCTTCTACTTATGGGTTTTATTTCTATAGATAAGATTTTTATGAAAAATAAGAGTCTTCAGTGGCAGGAAGAAATAATATTTTCAAATGCACTGCACATTTGAATGTCCCTAATAGCCCCTGATTATGTTATTGTGGACTCAGACCCATCTGTATTCATGCCTCCTTCAGGCAGCCTCACTGTGAAAGAAAACCAAATGGAGTAGGAAGTTGAAGAAAACAATATAAAACAAACTATGAAAGTCATTTGATAATTCCAGACATCTTATCTCTCCACTTCTATATTCTAGGTAGTCTAAGAGCAATACCACTGCATAATTAAAATGTCATTGAATGTAAACAAATCAACCACTTATTGTTCTTAAAGGAAAGTAAATCTCAATATTAGTGTTAAAAAACTGACATGGAGAATATGTTGTCCCTCATGGTTTATGATCACAAGGTTTAGAGTTTCAAATCATTAAATGTTCATTATCTTAAATAAAAGTCATTGTCTTGGATTGAATCTTGATATATCGAAAGGGCAATAGTGGCAAAATTAGTGAAATATGAATAAAATCTGGTGTTTACTTATAAAAAATGTAACGATGTTCATTTCATAGATAGACAAATGCACCCATAATAATGTAAGGTAATAATATTAAGGCAAATTGTCTGTTCTGCAGAAATTTTACGAAAAAATATGTAACATTTTAGTTTATCTAAAATCACTCCAAATGAAAAATTAATAGAAAGAAAAGCAGTGATCAATTTCTGCTATCAAATACTACAAATCCAGCCCCATTGTCTAACAGCAATGTGCCATTAAACAAAGCCCTGAGCCTCTAGAAGCCTGACCACAGTGTCGAATACAGAGAAATTATGAATGTGGGGTTCAGAGTAGAAGTCAAAATGAATATAAAAATACTGACATCTCCATTTTTAAGCAGCACAAACATACACAAAGTGAATTAAAGGACTGAAAGAATCACAAGAATAGCAATTTTAAGGAAAAAAAAATTAAATGTAATTCTTTTGAAAACATATTGGCAAACACTTCCAGAATCATAAATATGTATTCTTTCTCCTAATTATCCAAACCCTAAAAATATATCATGAAAGCAAAATGACATGGGGATGTTTGAGAATGGAAAATGCTGCAGTAACAAAAACACAGCTCAAATATTCAGTGAGAAACATGTCTGTTTACTTCAGACATTTGCATTCATATCACATGATCTAATGAATAAAACCATAATCAATGATGTAAGGAAATAGAAGGGAAAACATTTTGCAACATGTTAAGGAAGAAATAAAAACATTATACTCATTCCCCTCCATTTGTATGGATAATTTAAATAGAGTTTTGCCATACAGAAGATCAAAAATTGCAATGATAAAGTCTTTTCATTTGCAATAAATGTTTGGTTACTATAATGAGAATATTTATAATTGAACATAATTAGC